TTTTTTATAAACTAAAGTACCCGAATTTTTGTTATCTAAAAATAAAATATAAAGATAATTTTGTGGTTTCTCCTGTGGGGTAACCCGTGACGGTTTGAAAGTACGTTTTTCTGTGACATTTCATTCAAGCGTTTGCCGACATTTTCCTTGTCACCCTGACAGCAATTTGCTTATTTCCGTACCCCTGTATCCGTTCCATACAACCATTTCCCCCGGAATGTTGGAAATTGAGGAAATGTTATATAGCAATATTACTTTATAGACTATGTAAGTAATTAACTTATCTATTAATATTAGATTATATTATATTTTTTTCTACAAAAAAAATCGTCATTCGTAACAAAACTTAAGTATATTCATTTACACGGAACACGGAAGTAAACTCTATCGAATCCAAAAAGAAAATACAATTAAAAGACAATTTACTCCTTTTTGAATTTGATTAAAAATCGGCATTACACTTTCATCATCATTATCTTGACCTCACCCCAATCGACTCAATTATTGGCCATTGCATCTTAAAGTTCTAAATTATAATCCATACCAGAGCCGAGGGTGACGATTAACACACATTTTTTTTCCAAATGCCTTCTTTCTGTTGTAAGGAAGAAATAAAGGTAAAAGCTAAAGTTTAGATGTAAGGAGAAGAAGCCGTATTCAGTTATAGAATCCTTTGTAAGCCCGCAGATTTGTTTCCAAAAGTAAGTCAGCTGTGAATAGAGACAGGAGTTCTAAATGCGAAGCAAGTATTCAACCTCTATACTATTGTCGTATTTTAAATATCTTCCAAAAGATGTCTGAAGATTTTTTGTATAATAACTATATTACATGATTATATCGCCATTTCTAAATTGATTTTAGTAATTGGTTTGCAATAAATAGAACTTAACTTTAATATAAGTTAAGCTTTATCTACTATTTATGGGACCGATGTCCCATATTAATTTTGTGACGATTAAGCTGCGTTTTTATTTGCAGGGCAAAAAACTGCTTCCTACGAAGCAAAATCTACTTATAGACTTTCGCGTTATAAATTTAAATAACCTATTCGAATTTACAATATATCTACTAAACATTTTCTTATTTATACCTTTTCGAAAAGTAATTACTTGTTATGTTAAACTTGATTGATGTTTAGAGGTACGTACGTATATCTACATAAAATATTATTGCATGATTGTGCATTATAATACAAAATAATACGAGTATACGTTAGGTATTTATTTACCTTAAGATATATTATTTTCTAGTATCTAACTGGTATCAGAGTAAATAACATATCATCTAACAATATTTCCATGTACATGCTCTTCGGTTAATTTGAAAGCCTTGTTATTACTTCGGCTTCTGCATTTCTGTAAACAACTTGTTTGTGCTGATGTGCAAACAATTATTATCTGAAAGTTTACTCGTATTTCAATAGTGGATATACATAGAATGCATATTTTCTAGTTCACGCAATACATTATTTTACAAATAACTCTGTGCCTTTCAAATCAAATCAAATCATATTTATTCGCTTGCTACATGGTATACTCTAATAAATTAATTATTTGTAATTATTTTGAGAAAAAGTAATATGTGTGTATTAACGAGGGCTCTATAAACAAGCACATAGCCTAAAAAGTGTTTATAGATTTTGTCACAATGAAGATATGCCACAACACTTAATTTGTGACTGTAGCTCACTCATACATAAACGATATATCTCCTTTGATTTTTTAAATAAATTGCAATAGCAATCAAGCAAGGAAGCTATGCCTGATGGAATGAATTTTGCCTATATATAGTACATGCACATCACATAATACTCTGGTATCCATGGTACCCATCATGCTTTGTTTTTATTTATTCTATGTTGGCCACATTTACAAAAATGTGTTATACACAAGGCCATTCTTAAACTGAAATTATGATTTACATCATCACTTTATAATCCTTACTTATAATATAAATATGAAAGTGAGTTTTTTTTTTTTTTTTACATTTTAAAGGCATGTTAATATGGCATACCTTGAAGCCTAAAGCTCAGACACCTTAAACTTGAAAGCTTAGAAGTAGCAAATAATAACTGGCTGTTGTTGTCGGTATTAAATCACTCGAAAGCCCTGATGAAGGAGGTTTCACAAAAAAATACTCTAATAAATTAATTATTTATAATTATTTTGAGAAAAAGTAATATGTGTGTATTAACGAGGGCTCTGTAAACAAGCACATAGCCTAAAAAGTGTTTGTAGATTTTGTCACAATGAAGATATGCCACAACACTTAATTTGTGGCTGTAGCTCACCCATACATAAACGATATATCTCCTTTGAAAAATACACTTCATATCCTAAGGAGTTAAAAAACATCGCTACAAAAAATATCTTAAAATTCCTATCATTGATAGAAATTAGCAGCGAACTTTAAAAAGGGCGAGCACAAAAGATCATGGAAAGGTCGCAGTGTCACAGGTCTTTCTGTCTAGCAAAAGCCCGTTTTTCAATAATAAGACATCTTACGCCTGTACCAATTAATATGAATTTTATTTTTATCAATGTAATGGAACTGTTCTCCGTTATAGACTATATCTTTCTGGATATGGATATGGATGGATTTTCGTAAATTAAACGTAAAATAACCATTTGTAATCCACTGCTGTATTAACTATAATATTCTGAAATTTACTTACTTACTTACGGATAATTGTACTAATGGGCAACAATGATACAAAGATCTTCTGTAGTTATTTTTCAATTGTCCCCTTCTTTAAGTGCACTCATCTATCTGACATTTGACAAAAACCAACTAATTAATAAACACCAAAACGTAATTGGGAAGTTAATTAACCTTTTAAAAAGCCGCAAGTTAATATAGCAAGGAAATATCGCTACCCATAAATACTTGGAGGAATATTTTCGCAATTTATCAAGCTTTACGATATAATTTCATTTAATGAACAGCACAATAGATAGGTTCGAGGTGTGATATTTTCAGCTTTCTTTTATTGGCGAAGTCGCCCCCTACCATAGATATAAAAAATCGTAGATTCACTTGCCCGTACAAAATTTGCACCCTAAAATGTTCCAAATATAGAAAATAGTAAACGTAGGATAAGATATGAATAGAGTTGTTTATATAAACCAGATTTGAAATTCCGTATCTGAATATACGAGGTCTGTCCGGAAAGTTCGTATAAAAGTGTTCTGGAATGCGAGAAAGAGGAGTGGGGAGGCCAGGTAAGCGCAGGACCCCTTCCTTATGTCCCTAACAATGCTTCAGTTCTGGTCTGACCGCCGTGCGGTGCGAACTGGCTTGTCACGCCATCTGTGAAGTTACCTCTTAACGAAACCCCGTCGGCATGGAGCCCGCTTCCGTTGAAGAGCAGCGCGTCGTAATCAAGTTTCTCTCGAAACTCGGCAAGAATGGCCGTGAAAGCAAAGAGTGAAAGACATCCGGGGAACCACGAGCAAAAAAATCAAGAAAATCCCGCTCAAATGTCAAGACAATGTTGATTGTTTTTTTCGATGTTCGGGGGATTGTCCATCAAGAATTCGTCCCTCCAGGCCAGACAGTTGATGGAAAATTCTACGTCGATGTGCTCAGACGCCTCAAAGCTCGTGTGGCACGAGTTCGTCCAGAATTGGCGCGAGAGGGGCGTTGGATTCTTCACCACGACAATGCCCCTGCCCACACCTCTCTTGTTGTCCGTGAGTTTTTGAGTAAAAATTCCATTACGGTGACCGAACACCCCCCCCTATTCGCCGGATTTGGCCCCGTGTGACTTCTTCTTGTTCCCAAAAACCAAATTGGTACTTCGGGGGCGGCATTTGGGGGACATAAATGAGATAAAAAAAGCTACGACGGGGCAGCTGAGAAACCTACAACCAGAGGACTTTCAAGGAGCCTTCTCACAGTGGAAACGGCGTTGGCACAAGTGCATTATGTCACAGGGGGAGTACTTTGAAGGGGATAAAATTGATTTACCTGAATAATTGTAAAATAAAATTTTTAAAAAACTTTTATACGTACTTTCCGGACAAACCTCGTACATATATTTCATATTTTTACAAAATTTGTGAAAATATTATAGGACTTTTTACTACAAACATCATAGGATATTTAGAAATTATTATGTAATTCGCCGTGTGCTTGCGGCAGAGAATAGGCCACCCCGTCACCACTGCCGTAAGAGGCGACAAAGAGAGGGCGAGCAATGGGCAGCAGCGTCACTCTTAAAACATCTCCAAAGCCTAATTGCGGTTGCCAATCTGCCTGATAAATAAACATGGCACCTACTCCAAAACCCCCCAAGGGGGAAGTTTATGTTCAGCAGTGGACAGTTTAGATAGTGCATCTTAGGTAATTTGTATATCGATGGCTCCAACGAAATCTTTGTGTCTCGACAGAAGTAACAGTCACTGATCTCTCCTCATTCTATTACGCTTTATGGCCATACAATAAAGTATAAAATTGCCTGACTAGTGTTTTCGAAGTATCGACCTAAGCAATAACCTTTTTTTATTTCCATAACAGAGAATTTTGACGGGTTCGCGCTCAATACCCGTGTGAAATGTGCAAAATATTTCCCACCGCTCATTTCTTTATAGGACACTGCATTCACGAACTGTACCATTATCGTCGTTTTTTGTTCCGCTCAAATGTAATTTAGAAGTAACGATTGATTTCAAACTGTTTTTCTGACAAAATTCATTGGTTATGCTTAGGACTTCTGTTTATTTTATTAGGTGTAGGTATGCTGAAGGTAACCATGTAAATGTATCTTATATATAAATTTAGCATATGGTTAATTAAAATTAACCATATCCGTACAGCTGTTTGGGAGTGATCGAGTAACAAACATACAAACACAAGCATTTATATTTATATTATTAGTAAATATGTGTATGTTTTAAGTGGTATACTTGTAGATTAATAAATATAAAATATATTTATATTAAAATTAAATAACATCAAAATAAATTCACAAAATATAACATTTTATGTTTTTGTTTCAGACAAACTGAGAGAAGAATGTAAGAAATACAATGTCACATTTAACATAGTAAGTATAGTAAAAATAATGTTGACTAATAATATAATAATGTTTGACTTTTGTATCTTAAATGGGATAAATAATAGGGATAGTCAGTAAAAAGGGACTACCATAGTAAATGCTACGGGGAAATAACCTTTACCAAGATTATGTGATCTGAGATGATCAAAATGGACAGTTTTATATAATCGAAACAAAGTATTTTACTACTAGATAATATTATATTAACATTTCGAGCTATTCATCCCCATCGGATGTTAATTCATCGAGCTACATGGCTGACCTATTATCATTTCCATAAAAATTCTAAATTATTATTCATATGTCTAGTACATTTTAGGCCCGTCAGTTTTTTGTTCTACCGTCAGAAGCGTATTTAAAGAAGAAGGAGGGTGTTTTGTTCCCACCCAAGGATACAAACGAAGCTTCGCAAAGAAGTGCCTAAAAGTACATATTAAAGGTCTTTATTTAAAAGACCGGGCTATCCCTGGAAAGTTATTTTAAATACACCGATGTCTATAAGTATGTCCAATTCAATAATCAGTTTCAACTACCATCATCATCATCTCAGGCATTATTTGTCCTCTGTTGAACATAGGTCTCCTCCATAGATCGCCATAAGGAACTGTTCAGAGCCACTTGACTGAATTTTAACCAAGAATTGGATAAAGTCGACTTTTTTACACATTAGTCACTTGACTGAGTTTTAACCAAAAACTGGTTAAAACTCGACTTCCTTATACACATTATACATTATTTTAAATGGTAAAAAATATTAAATACACTAGGCCGCCTTTTGTACGACACCACAATAATTATTATGATTACATTGTTTACCACCACCACCATAGACATTATGGTGTAATTCGTGTTTACACCAGCGACAGTTACACTTACCCTTTACCATAAAGTAAAATGAAATAAAAAATATTAATTAGGAGTAGACTGTTTAACTGTTTATACAAGCGTTACAGTTAACACCGTCGGTAGTTTAAAAAGATATCCGTTTGCATTGCATCCTTTCTGTTAATTTTACATAAAATGTTAAATTAACTGTTTGTATTTAATTAAACAGTTATTTGACGTTTGTCTGAAGTAACTATAGAATGCGAACTAAAAGCGAATTCAGCATTAACCATTTTTGTAGTGTTAATGTTCTTATTCGTTTTAGAGTATTCCGCGACTAAATATTTGCCTTGTAGGTGATCATAAATCTCTAAATTCCACTGCATGATAGAATCCGTAATGAGGATATCCGTAAAAGAAACTAACTGTAACGATGAGTACAAAATCTCAAGGGTTTAACTATATAAACAATACAAACGAAAGAATAGTAGGTGCTAGTTGGAGTGACGATTTCGAATATATTAGCATACCTACCGATGGGTGAAAAAATATGAATGACCATAATACACCAATATTAAATGACTTCCATTCCATTTGTTCCTTGTGACAGTCTGTGTTTATGCCAACAATAAAAGACAAAGATGCCTTTGTTGATTGTACCTTTATATATATGCTTTGATCTATACTTCATGCTACTGTATTTCAGTTGAATTGTTTATATGTCATTGTTTATTTTTATGTTTTTGGTGCAATAAAGAGTTAAATAAATAAATCATTTATTTATATAGCATATTCCAACAATATGTTCTATTTAATGGCAAATTTTAAAAAATAGTCGATCATAATAACTAAATTGTGCCTCAATGTATTTCTCAATTTAAGTAAGGGCGGGCATTCAAAACGAGCAAGTGGAGTGGGCCACTAACGAAATTGCAGCCAAAAGGCCTCGAGATACCACTGCAATTCGATGAAAAGGAACGAAACGACTCTCGAAAACTACGTTGCGTACTCGTATTTGCCATATTTACATAGATATATTCAAAATTTTACACTGGCGGGCACCAGTGAGGGGTAATTGGGAAAGATGAAGCAGGTCCGTTGACCTGTCGTGAAAATGTGAATGTATGAATGTCGACCTGATAGGATATATTCCTAGCAATAGGGCAGACTCCATTACTAATAATGGCAACTATTAGCAAAATCCTCCCTATGGTAAACTGTCATAAGGAAAGGCCCCGGTCTATGACGATCTATGGAGGAGAGCTTCGTTCAGCAGTGGACAGATAACGGTTTGTGTGATAATAATGATGATTGACATATTTTGGATACTAAGATATATCCCGAACATAGCTCAACCGCGTCGAAATCATTGGCCGTCCTCTCGGTCAATATTAAACTTGCATATACTCGTACTCTATATACTTATTATATATACTGGTAATATGCAATATATTACAAGTATGTGAGAGTAAGGTATTGATTTAAAAAATCTTATCTGCTAGTTAGGTAATAATACTCGTATATACGTAGATAAGCCAAATAAACCGCATATCACATCATAATGTGAACGAATGCGGGCTTCCGATTGATATTTTATTACACGCAGCACAGCCTACTGATTAATTAATTTCATTTTAATCCTTCGAAATCTAATTGCAATAAGCATTCCGTTGGGTTTTCCATAAATTGTACCGTATTCATCTGCTATTTATTTCATTGTATCAAATACAAATTTAAAATGACAATATTTGTTTAAATAATGTATACTGACGTGTGGTCGGGCTCATTAGAACTTAAATAGACACAAATAAATAATTGACCCGACCATAATAATCTGTTGACGCCCAATTACAGTACAAATAAAATATCAATTAATTAATTGAGTTTTAATAGGTTTTAGTTTATTATCAAAATAGAGAATAGAGAATGTTTGTGTAATATTTTCAACAAGAATAAGAACAAGAATTTTTATTGAGTTCTATTGAAACAAACTATACCTCCACCTAGTACTAGTATAATTGATTAATGGACAATTCATGTAAGATTTGTTTTTATTAACACGTGTTACATTTAAAAGGAAACATTTATTAAACCATCTTTTAGTGTAGTTTTGCCTGTCACTACTATTTATGTTATAGGTAATATTTTTTATGCAACTTGGAATGGTAACTAATCTAATACATAGATTGGATAACTCACTGTGTAATTAATTAATAATAAATCCTTTGTAATACATAATAAATGTGGAAGTGACTTTGTTTTTTTACCTCTTAGCACCTTAATCAACCACTGAAGTTTATTTTACACTCGCTGTATGGGATGAAGAAGGACACAGACTTCTTTTTTGGAGTTATAAAAAATATTTTCATTTAATCTATGTACCCATGTTCGTGCAATAAATGATTTGAATTTGAAAAAAATTATTCTGGTCAGTGGACATATTCCGGTCACGCGGCCGAAACCGCTGATAATAGTCATATATATATTGAATATATATAATTGAAGTATGTTCCACAAAAAAAGGTACTTCAATCATAACGGGATATTTATATAAATTCTACTGAATACTGAAAAACATTAAAATTCATTTCAGAATTAACGCAACAATAGATTACAAGCGAGTTGAGAACTTTCCTATAAAAATAACCTTCACCCTTTCAAAGTGGTAAAATATACTAATAAAATATTGAAACAGCGATTTAGGTGTAACGAAACATACTGTGAAACAAAGCCTCTAAGAAGTGGGCGCCATCCCACTCGATCTCTTCACTTGTGGAGCGTCTCTAAGCACGTCTCAAGGAGAGCCTATACTCGACTGACTATACATATCGTGTCGCATCCATTTTTAACCTAGATATTTACACAGCTTATATATATATAGCTATAGCTATTTCAAAGAATTTGATAAAAATGTAAACAAACTAATAACTGATCCGATATTAAAACAGTCTGTTTATGTCCAATAATAGTAGGGTTTTCGCTAACAAGGAGTGTATTGTTTCCTATTACCACGCTGACCAATTGGCTTAGTATATGGTTTTATTTCAAATTTATTAATTGCTGATTAGTTGGATAGTTGCCAGTAGCCCGTCATCGTGGCACTTGTTGCGTAGTATTAAAACTCACAAAAAAAGTTTAATGGAACCATAGACATGTCGCGTACTTTTATAGACAATAAAGACAAAGAAACCTCTTTTTTTAAGTCTGTTCAAATAAAAGTTTTTTTTTTTTTTTATTTGTAATACAATCACTACTCGGTAAACGTCACACTAACACACTTTTACCAAAATCGTCAGGGTCCATTCTGCATTTCAATTGTCTTTAAGTGTTACAGAATAATCCTTACTAGATACCTAGATATTGCAAATGTTAAAATCAGTGGCCATTACTTCTTAGATAACAAGTATTCGGTTTGTATAATGCATAAAAAGTATATAGATTGGCAATCATTACTTACACAATATAAGCTCGAAAAAGACTTGCTAGGAGTTCATATAAATTTTAAACTGTCACATGCACACATTTACATTACATGCACACTAGTGTAACTATTCATCTTATCTCGTTCTTATGATTGCATTTCCAGTCCATCAGTACATGAGTACTTTATATCTGTTTATATAGTATATGGTCTAATAACTAATCATGATTATAACACAAAGGCAGTCGCGAACGCAACTATAATACTATAAAGTGGAAAGATTTGATTGTTTTTTTTTTTTTATTTATTTATTGTAGTGCGACATGTGAGTACGCCATCCAAAGCGAACATTAGATATGGTCCATAAATACGACCAACTGAAAAGAGAACGTTCCACTCTCAATGATTGTTTGTTTCTAATGGATAAACTCAAAAACTACTCAACCGATTTTAATAATTGTTTCACCTGTAGAAAGCTAAATCATCAGCGAGTAACATAGACTATATATTATTTACACAGTTTAATTCATTTATTTATATTTTTTGTCAAGAATACTCGCGGCTGGTTTTTGGCTTTTGGCCACAACAGAATGAACTGAGTTGTGACCATTTTGTGTTACTGTAGAACACTCACGAGATGTTACCTCTTTTATGTACTTTCTATTTGTTTTTTTTTTTTGTATATATATATTTTTAAGAATATACCAATATCTAATGTTATTTGTGTGCTGTAAGTAATGCA